AATTTTCTTATCAAAGTCCCTACACTATTGGCCACTATTAGCGGTGCTGACTCTAGCCTCTGGTATGTTCGGAATATTAAACATTAAACAAGCTCAACGCTCGAAACAATCGATTAATGTATCGTGATCGTGTGAAATTCGGGAAAGAGAATTACTTTTATTTCAGATTATGATCCGGTGAGTCACAAAATCTGGCAAATTCCGAAATCCGGTATATTCCGGAATCCGGTTGTTCCGGATACGTGTAAATCCGGCGGAACCGGATTTCACCGGATAGTGCAAAATCCGGCGGAACCGGATTCCGGACCGGGGTCCGGCACACCCCTAATTAGTGCTATTAAATTGTTGCTTTGTTTTAAATATTGTTAGTGGGTATTAATTTCCAGTGTAAATCAAGCTACTTACTACAAAAAGTTCATTATCGATAATAGGTAATTTGGGGACACGTGACAAAAATTTTGTGCAAAAATTTCTCACCTATGCACTGGTCCTAACCTCACGAATTTTGGATATGTTTTTAATTATGCCTTTATCTAACATTGGTATTTTCTTTTTTTAAACTTATAAAAAATTATGAATGAGTCTAATTAGCTATTGATTTATAATTCATTTTCAAAGTCAAACCATCAGATTTTTTCTAAAAAAAAGGAAAGTGTCAAATGAACAAGAAACATGTCTTCTTTAAGCTGAGGGCAGAAGTAGAATTTATTAAAAAACTAACTTTAGCAAAAATAATCCTTAACAACATTACCCTCGGTAAATTAAAAAGTGAAGGTCGCCATTTTGACAACGAAATCACGATACCCGGTTTTCGGCACTTCCCGGATCATACCGAGGTCCCTACTATAAATTCATTTTGAAAATTTTACCCAGGTACCTTCAATTTATAGTATACTTACGGGTGAATTGAGACATTTTCTAAGTGAAGTGCCATTGTATGAATTCCTCTAAATAAACTAAATTATTTATTTCTGGCTTTTACCAAATCGGTGTTTAAATGTATATTTTAAAATTAAAATATGTTGATGCTTTCATTTGCAATGTGGTAATATTTGTACACAGATAGGATATCCGGAAGTTACGTAAACAACTCGATTGCGCTTGCGCATGTCATCGGAAGAAAATGAGTAACAACAGATAAAAAAAAAAAAAAGAATTAAATTTAAAAAAAATAGCACCTAGCTGAGAAGAAGCATCCTTTGATTACTTAACCTGTCCTTTTTTTTACTTTTTTTCTTCTTATTTCTAATTTTTATTTTTTTTTTTTTTTTTTTTCCTTTTTTCCCGTTTTTCCATTTTTTTTTTTTTTTTTTTTTTTTTTTTTTTTTTTGTTGCTTACCCGATTGCAGTCTCTCCCCTTAAAACTACGAATGTCATCAGCATCATTGGTTACTCCCTATTAGGACCAATCAATATTGGTAAAATAATAGAACCAATGTATTATTTTCATACATTATTATTATTTATTTAATTGATCCGTACCTTTCCTTTGATAATGGCATATTATGTTATTTAAAAAAATAGTTTTAAAGTGGGGTGGGGAGTTAAATATTAATAACTAGATGGAGCCCACCAAACATTGGCGACAGCGATGCGTGAACATCCCATCTACCTAAGTTACTTGCCAAAAACGTAAACTCAAGTTACGCACATTTAAGAATGCCAATTTTGCTACACCCCTTCCCCCCCCCCCCCCCCCCCTTATTTTCTTGATACGTCACTGCGCATTTTTTTTCCACGCCCATGAACTATATTAATAATATTCTCATGTCCCAACCACTTTTAAACCGAATATTTTTTTACAAAATACTTAAATTGAGACCATTTCATTTTCGAAAAGAAAATAATACGCACCAAATACAATTGCATTATTAAAAAAAATATATATAGGCCTACTATATCATTTAGCGTAGTTATCGGGAATTATATTTTGCACGCTAGTGAACTCATTATTGAACCACACTCTGGCGTGTCTATATATAGCCTGTGTGGTGGTGGTGTTTGACCTTCGCTGGTGAATTATATAATAATAATAATAATAATAAGGGGTCTTATATAGCGCGGTACCCCAGCCTAGGGCTGGGCTCACCGCGCTGTACATAAAATTTTTATCAAAAGAGACATAATCATGACATTAAAATAAAATACATTTCATATGAAATAAAGAACAGCAATGTATATTCACCCACCCCACCACATAACTTTTACAAGGCAAACCATGGACGGCCAAGGAGGGGACTCAGTCAGGGTAGTATAATTTAAAATATATATAGATATTAATTTTTTCAGAAATGATTTTAAGTAGTAGTAGTAGTATACATTTATATGTAATCGATTCTCGTAATTTTGTTCTTAGTAAAAATAAAAACATAAAAAATTGGTAATTTTTAAAAATTAATATTTTTTCTGGGGTCTAGCCCCTTAAAAGATCAAAGAATATTTCGACCTCCGTTGTGTGTGGAGAAAAAAAAAAATCTAATTTGATATTATAAAGTGGCCACTATCAAACCAGACTATTATCTGGGTTTAAAAAAAAAATATGATTAAACATTTTAAAAAGCACATTCCCGATATAATTCCAGCACAGCGTAGGCTATCCCATCGACCCCTTAACATAGCCTTTCTCTGTCCAATGGGCTATCCCACCTCCCATTGGAGGAAGAGGGCGGGTGGGGTGTACCACCTACTTTGAGAGCCACTGTTCTAGAGCTTAGCGATTTTCGGTTGACCCGGAAAGACAATCGGTGTAACTTTTATAACTTTATTTGCAGGTTACCAGTTACCACTACCCTAACCTTTGCTGAGACAGAAGGGCATACACTATATTTTTTATTTTTTTCTCAAATTCATTGTGAGGTAGGCTAAATTTTACAAATTTCAAAGGCACGATAGTTAATCAAGTAAAATCATATTGAAGCTATATTCAATGGTAATAGTGGTAACCGGCGATCGTCCAGCTTAAAGTTTAAGTGTCTAAATTCACAATCACAATAATTAATAATGAATAATGAATCATCATGTTGTATTTTATTATGGCTGAGGCTATTCGGACCCGGGTCCGGGAAGTGAGAGTTTGGGTTTATTTTAAAAGATATTTAACAATTATTGTAGGGTTTGTAAGTCAAAATTTGGGGTAAAAGTGCTGTTCAGGTGCGTATATTATTATTTCTTAACGGATTTCGTATTATCTTATCTCAACTTAGGTGTATTCTTAAAATTCTTTATTAATTAAATACTATACAGTGTGAAATTTACTTAACTAATACTGATTTTACTAAATTATACATCACCTTTTTTCTTTGATTTCTAAAGAGTCTTTAAATATCCCCCGACCAAAGTTACATAGCTGATAGCCCCATTTGTTTTGTTTTTTTAAAAATCAACCTGTGGCCAGATTTTTAACCACATATAAGTTAGTATGTAATAACAAAATTTTCAAATGGTAGGCATGTTCACAAAAAATAATGAAATACTGGATTGGTAAATGTTGATAAATCTCCCCAGGGTTTCCGCCATCTTGGTTGACACTGTCACTAAACCTAAGCCTAAACTAAATGTATCCCTATGCCTAACCTGAACCCTAAATCGAACCCTATGTCTAACCTGATCCCTAAATTGATCCCTCAACCTAACCTAAACCCTAATTCACTGCAACTATAATAAACACGCAAATGACGTCACAGGGATGATAATGAAAATTAGCCACTGGGATTTTTCATTACGCATGAGGCCCCCCTTTCTATTTTTTCCCCTCAGAGCACTTGGAGTATACGGGTTGTCCCTTGAAGTCGGGGGGGGGGGGGAGGATTAGAAGTGGATCACCGACTAAGGCAGCGGACACACAAGTCAACATTGTCCTGGAGGGGAACGGAGAGGTTGGGGGGGGGAGGGGGGGGGGGGGGGGGGGGGGGTCCCCACAAATATGTGCCAATGTGTCATCATGTTTCCACTTTTAAAAAAAAATATTTGTGGCGTTGCAGAAATGGGAGAAATCGGAATGATATCATGGGGTCATTTATTGATAGTCATCTCATACTGATGGCTGCAATACGTTTTCCGTGATTGGTCAGCTCTAATTTGAGCACCCCTCCCCTTTATTCATAGGCAAATGCGCTTATTAATGGTGCTTATTTGCGCTAAGTAAAATGAGGGCGAGGGCTAGTGATTATATATAATAAGACATACTCGTTTTGCGGTATTGCTGGTAGTGGGATCATTTTGTTCAAAATGGCAGGACGACCAAGAAACAATAATTGAAATTATATATTTTTTTTCATGCAGCTGTGTCGATAACTCTCTGAAAATGGGCATGCACTGGGGTAACATGGCGACTAATGTACGTGGTGTGATCATCTACAGTCTTTCACCATATGAACAGAAGGCTTTTGCTGGAGCTATTTCTAAGGGTGTTCCGAATATGTTTCGACGCTTTAAAAATCAAGTTTTCAGAGTGGCTCCCCGTAAGTAGTAACTATCTAATGAAAAATAAAAATGCATCTAAGTGCCATCATTTTATTATTTTTTTTTAAAAACAGAATGAGAATTATTTTCTATAATATTAGCTGTAAATAAAATGGATAATTTCTTGCTGGAGTAGATAATAATTATTTCTATTTTTTGGGTAACTACTAGTGTTTTTATTAGATGGAATATTGCCAATGTGCTAAAATGAACATTCACTAATAACAGACCATTTAAACAGGTGAGAGAGCCATGACAAAAAATGTCTATTTATTTGTGTGTCTTCGCTTTCAGCTTTCATCGTTGGTTACCTAATCTACGACTGGGCCATTAAAGAACATGAAAGGCTTCTGCGTAAAAACCCCTGTGACTACGCCAACGATGAATAGATAAACAGAAATATGGTGGTTTTCATTAAACTCATTTCCATCTATTTCATTTCTCATGTTAAAAATAGTTTTGAATTTCAAAAGCAACCAAGCTGTATACAAATTACAATGTTAAATACAAATTAATTTATTTGAAACTCTTACTTGTGTTTTTTTAATTTAGTGCTGTTAACGATAGTTTATATAACACAATGTTGTCAAATGTTAGCTTATGATAGTTTGTAAAACACATCAAATGGTAGTTTGTAAAACAAATGCTGTAAAACTATAGTTTTTTAAATACTTCTTGCGATCTATTGATATGTTGGCTTAACCCAGCATAAGTTTGTAAGTGTATACATTACTTGGAATTTCTGCTGTGATAGGAAAGAACATCACTCTAGTAAAAAAAAAAAATGCCTGGTAGGCCTTGAGGGTACAGTGTAATCATGCAACAGTGGAGGGTTTTAAAAAAAGAAATCACACTAGGCCAATATCTTTGACAATGGCTCAAACTTGGGGTTTAACACAAGACAATCCTGGAGCAACTGTTGGGAGGGAAATGAAAGTTAATAATTAAATTTCATTACAAGTTGAATAACCCCTACTGTGGATGTTATTGAGCAAATGCTTTAAAACTCATCTTGCAAGACAATTTTTGTGAAGTATGATGTACTTCTCTTTCCTTAAATCAAATAAGTTACAATATTTAAAAAAAAAAAAAACATACATTATTGGGCATAATTATTTTTTATTTACATTAACATTGTAATTTACATCAATAATATGGCAAAACAATTTCACTTTCTCAAAATTAATCTCTAACGACACTGGTAATTAATTTTGTATCCATCATTTGTATTGTTTAAATTCTATTTTCAAATTATGCGTTGCGGAAGAATTTAAATTAAAATGACATTCTGTACAATACAAAAGTCTAGACTTTCTCATTATACCTAATTGTAATGAGATAAAATAAAAGCAGTTAATAAATAACATATAAATTAGTGTTATTATTAAAAGCTCAATCATAATATAACAAAATGATATTTTAGTTTTACTATAAATGCTTTCTATCTCTGAATTTAAACAACATTGAAGCCAGAGGGCAATATCTGTAGGCCTGTCTGTAAGAAGTTGTAAAATGGTAGATAGGTATAGTTAATGAACTAGTAAATGTAATAATCTGTTAATTCATCATTCCACAAATTTGACCCTTTCTAATGACATGCCTGTGAACAACAGATTTTATGAATGGCTGAGTAACTGTCTTGCATTTCACGCTGAGGTTGTTAATTGTTGAACAGACTGTGGACACACAAAAAGTTATTCAATTTATTTTATTATTTTATGAGAGTTAAAATTACCCAATTAATGTGGTAGTTTGTTTTACACTACTGTTCCAGACAAATAAAAATATGATTAAATGGGATCATCAAAAATGAAAAGAAAATGATGTGTAGTACGTATATTTAAAAAAACACAATTGAAGGGTTCAAGGGAAAAACCAGTGATGTCAGGTTTTGAGAGTTTTGAGAAAATTGATAATAAAGTTTGAAAGTTACTCATAAAAGTATAAAAATGTCAAGATGTCTAAATATGTATTTAGTGACTACGCTACTATTTCAGTTGAGCCTATAGTGACTACGCTACTTTTTCAGTTGAGCCTATGTGTTATACTATTTTATTTAATGGTGTGTCGCCACATGGGAGATAACTTGCAAATTTCGAAAAATTGACATCACTTGTTTTTCCCTTGAACTCTTCAATTGTTTCCAGACTCCTAAAAATGGAATTCAATGGGATTTTTGTTAAATAAGGAAAAGAAAAGTGTGTATAGTCTATAGCTATAAATGAAATAGTATCAAAGTGGGGATCAATGAAGATGAAGAAGATAACATCCCTCAAATCAACTTACAGCAGAGAGGGAGAGTAGTTTTCCATACATAAAATTACATTTTTTAAAGCAATGTTGCCATTTATTTAGTCCCAAAGCATTTATTTTTGCCCGAGCAATAACAGACGGGAGAGAGCTTGAAAAATTTTTATGTTGTCCATTTCAGTTTTAACATACTCTCTTAAGGCATTTTTTCTCTACATGTTCCCACTTTCAACAAAAACTTGGAAATAGACAATTTTAGTTAAAGACAATCATTTCTCTTACGGTATGCATTAATTTTCTTCTTTCCTGCCAAATACCCCAAGTTATTCTTGAAAACTATTTTAAATTTGTGAAATTTAAAGTTATTTTAATTTATTTAATAGGTAAGTCATTTTTGACTGGTAAATTTTTTGCCTGCCTTTACAAATTTAATAAGGAATTAGCTATTTCAAGGAAATTATTCAAGTTAATTTTGTTGAGATGAATTGTTTCCCTTATTTATGAAGTGCTTCTAATTCTATCACTTACTTCTAGTGCGTTTAACTATTTATTCTTATCTTTGCTTATTACCAACATTGCTTAAATATCATTGGGCTTGTTCATTTCAAATGCTAAAAACTTCAAGAAGATTATGAAAGATTTGAAATAAATACATATACCCCTATGTAGATTTTGGAGTAAATAAATACCGTAAAAATATGTTGGTACCCTTTTGCATAATAACTTTAAGCTTCTAAAAAAATTTATATAGTATTAAAAATCTCTAATTTGAGGACAAATTGCAATCATTAATTAATAACATCACTTTCACTGGTCACTTACTTTGCTACAACTTTCTAAAGAGGTGATTAACTTCGATAGTTCTACTTTGTCAAGCTCAAGAAAAACTTGTCTTCGTTGTCCATTGGCATCTCTTATGTCCAAATCAAGCTGTAGTAGAGGCTCTTGTATTGATGCTAACTTGTCACTCGCCATTGCCAACTGTAAGTCAAAAAAGCAAATGGAGAATAACCCTTTCGTTACCGATGAAGTCGACGCTGCGCCAAGATCACCCACTTTCAACTACTAAGGACATCACATTGTCGTCATAACAAAGAGGCAAAGAACTTTTCTGAAATACCAAGGACGTCATGTCAAATAAGAATCCCAATTACTGAATTAGTGCCCCCACCCTCTAGGCTCACTGCACATTTTTTTCATTCCCCTGAACTATAGTAATATTCTATTTCTAATGACCATCCCACTTTTACGCAGCAGATTTATTTCAACAACTATTTCTGAAAAACAAGAAAATATTACGCACCAATCGCACTTGTGATATATTTTTTTATTCAAAGAATCTCATTTAGCCCAGTTGTTATGCATTTTCTTTTGTGAAATCAGTGGCATATTTCCTTCATCTTCTCATTGAAAAACAGGAAAATGATTTTTTGGGGGGTGGGGCTGAAAATTTGATAACGGGTAGAATTAGACAGTTTTGTCTTTGGGAACAAGTCTATGTGTCAAGTTTCAGCTCAATAGGTTGCTGGGAAGTGGGTAATTAGCCATCCGAAGATTTTGCCAGTCAGCCACAAAGAAAAGCAAAGTTAATATAAATGATTTTTTTTTAAAAAGTAAGATAACCTGTACTTCTAATTTCTAAGGATTTCTTTAGTTTTTTCAAAACTTCACCTTTAATTTCCAATCAAAATCAGATAGCACTGCATGAGAGACTGCTGTCGTGTCTTCAACAAGTTTACGCCTGAGGACTTGTTTATGGCATGTCAAAACCTCCAGTAACACTTTCTTGTATGGTTCATCTAATGATGATACATGTTCTGAAATCTATTTCATAAGAAAAAGTTGTTTGAAGTTGTTTGACTGATTGAAAATTGTAGATACAAATCCAGACTACCCCTTGTATTTGTATCTATTATCTCCTTGTATAATCTCCTTATACAAGTATAAATAAGGTTGCCAGACTTCAAATTACAGTTTTAAAAACGTTTTGGAGTTTTTTTCCTTTTTTTACTGGCGTGGGATTTCAACTTTTCGTATTAAACGCTGATTAAATAGACTGTCAAGAAAGCCAGTAATATAACATGATAAACATAAACAAAAATACCTTTCGCTTGAAGAACTATTTGAATTTGAAGCAAAATGCATTTGTAAAGCTAAAAAAAATTTTTCTAGAGGACAGGTATCTAAGATCAGCTCAATCAGGGCAAATTCTTTCTCTCAAAGTTAGGACTGAAAGATATAAAAACTAATTTGTTCAGCCACTCTGTCAGAATTTACCAGCCGGCTCCTCTGGCTGTTACTAGTGTTAAAAAATATAAAATATCAAACTTAAGGAAGTCCATATTGTCACTAAGGGAGGGAAGCTTTATGGCACCTGACAGCAGACGAGAAACACTTAAGACGACTTGTGTTTAGATTAAATTAAATTGTAAAATTTGAAAATTTTGTCTTGTAAGAATATTTATCTATGTGCTGAAAATGAATACGGTACATTGTCATCCAAAACATTTCCATTTGTTTGGATTAATAAAAGAATCTTATCTTATTTTACGATGACGATTATCAGATTTTGTTTCTTTTCCATTTCTAGTGGAGATCTCTTTCAACAATTATAAATTATAAATATGTAACACATGTACAAAACATAAGGGGCCATCCATATATGTACGCATTGAGGGGGGAGGGTAGTCTATTTGGGAGACTTCACATATGGGAGGGTCCTAAATTTGTTTGATTCCCAGTGCCCTTGCCAAATTTAGGTTGTCAAATCCTTAAATGTACTCTTTGAAACAGCAAATATATTAACAAAGTAATAATAAATGGTTGGGTAAATATAAATAAAACATGTATGAATGTCACTAAGCATCATCAAGTAACTGCATTTTCTTATTTAGGTAAACATTTTTATATTTCAACATTTTAATTTTAAATAAATGAGAACTAAATCAGGATTTTTTCAACAGTGTTCTCTAATAAAACAACAACAATATTCTTTTTTTATGTTTTAGGGTCCAGACTGCATTTTAATTGTAAATGAACATCGAAAATTATTTTCACCACGGCGCCAATATTTTAAATTTAATCAACCAGTAAATATATTTAGGAATAATACTGTAACCAAAGAAAAATGGTTCTAGCCTTTTCGTTTGTCCAGCCTCTTCCAACTGCCTTTCTCATTATATCGGTAACTGCTGCCTGCACTTGCCACCATTCTTCTAAAGACCAAACAGACATGTACTTCCCAGGGTCAAGGATACCATCTCTACAGATGCTTTCTGCGACCAAATGGCAAAGCTAAAAATCAAGTTTGAAATTTTAAAAGAAAATTTTTACACATTGAAAAATTTTAAAAAGATAGTATTTAGTGTTACAATTGTAGTAACTTTTAACAGGGTGAGTAAATAATAAACTATTTTTGTGTCACAATTACAGAATTAGCAATAAGGTAAGAATTGACATTTTTAAATGTGCAAAGAAGAGATTTTGAAACTTTGTACTGGAGCAACATGCCTTAAGCCTTAGGCTGGTTAAACATTTTTAATGTGATCATATAGGAAACACCATGCCATCTCTTATTAAACAGTTAATTTATAATTATTTTAAGATCTGAGCCGTCCATAAAATATATCATGCTCCAGTGGGGGTGTCTAAGTAAGTGTGACCAATTGGGGGGGGGGGGGGGTTGGAGGGGTGTGTGGTTGGTTGGGGGGTAAAGATCTTTTGTGACATCACTAATAATTTTTTTTATCACATCATTTTCATACATGTAAATATAAATTATAAAGCCTGAAATTAAGGTTGAACTTTCCATACGTGATGGATACATTCTGAGATAAGAGATATCGCTTTAATAAATTTAATTATTAACATTAACAGTGAGGTGTGTTTTAGATTAAATTTTTTTTTAAAATTTAGTTTGAAAGTGGGACGTACAGGGAGGGGGGTGGGGGAAAGTGTCTGAGATTTGTGAAAGACTGTGAAAATTGTCGTAGTCAAAGAAATAGCTTCAAATTCAAATACTTTATTATGGATGCCCCGCCTTTAAATACTAATAAGTATAAGTATAATAATGTCCATAGTCCATAGCCATAGGTAATATAATAGACATAAATTAAAATATGCTACACTACACAGGCATGTATCCTATGAAAAGGGTTTAAAATTAAATTACGGTATATTAAATACACTTAAAAGATTTAATATTATTGTTTAATTATAATAAATAATCTAGACTGTTTTTAAAAATAAATAATGTCTTAAAATTTAAAAAGAGTAAGTGAGTAAGACTTACTTAGGCCTAGGCAGAGTAGAATTTTTTTTAAAGTAAAAGTAAACAGTTTAAATTACTTTAGAATTTAGAAGATTTTGTCAATTTTGGGTTAGATTGAAAATGAAAGTAGTGAACAAGAAAACTAGGGCCTAGGACTACTTTAGTATTAGTATGTAAAAGTATTTAGTTTAGTAACGATATTTAAACTAATAACTATTTTTAGTACATAGACTACTTAACTTAAACTACTTACTAACTTAGGACTAATACTTTTTTAATTAACTTAATTTTAATAATAATCATTTTGATATGTGCTTGCATTATTTTAAAAGGCCACTTTATATTAGTAATTTCGTTGGTAACAAATTTGGGTTAGGCCTACTCTAATTCTGTTCAATAATTGTTTTTAATTTTGTTATTTATTTTAGTCTTACAGTTCCAAAGTCATTTATTGAAGCTTTACGCAATAGCGAATGAGCCGACTCCCACTTGTCAGCCGCCATGATGAAACACCTGACCCACAGAAGTTACAAATCATCTGATTGGACAACTTTATAACTATTTGCCAATAAGACTAAGCGATAGCAAATTGTTTAGGTAACGACGCAGCAACACAAGTAAATAGTACACATACTCAAAAGTGTTGGTTGCCAATAGAACAATGGAAAATATTCATATTTCAAGAGCTTTGTGGGACTGTTACGTGTAATGAGTGTCAGTTTTGATGACTATGTAGTATGTTTTATTACAAGTATTCTACATGATTTCTAAAATAAAAATGGAAGAGGACGTTCGGAACAGAATTTACATCTAACAAACTTAAAACAAACTGATCAATTCAAAGAAAGTGTAATAATAAATCGTGCCGTGGTCTATTCTTTTTTTAAGTAGTTTTAATTATAAGAAATTAAGGATTCTTCAGGAAAGATATAAACATAGTTTAAAATAGCATCATATAGTATAGTTATAGGATAGACATCGCAAATAGTTTTCTATTTAAATAGTGTCCAATATCAGCGACTAATAAGGTTACTATAGACTATACTGGGTTTTAAAAGGAACAGACTGAGGAAGTTAGCAGGCTTGGCAAGATTCAACTTCATTATTACTACATCACATCTATATCAATCATCCAGGACCAAGTCATCGTACTCATACTGTGATATTTCTAACAAATAGCACATTTTTAATGCTCACAACTATATAAAGGGGACTAAGTCCACTTGTGAATAAATCAAAGTTCAAACACCAGCTGAAGTTCTGAAGATAGAAAATGGGAAATGTACTTCGTTCTTTGCTGCCCAACCGTGGAATTAAACCAACTTTCAGACAGATCGTACCAAATCATACAGTGGATGAAAATATCAAAATAAATTCCAAGGCCCATCCAAATTATGGGTTTAAAAGCAATGCCATTAAAACTACTCGTTATTCCATAATAACATTTCTTCCCAAAAACTTGTTTGAACAGTTTCATCGGTTTGCCAACATATATTTTATATTTGTAGTAGCTCTGAACTGGATCCCACAAGTTCAGGCTTTTGCGAAGGAAGTGGCAGCTCTTCCTGTTCTATTTGTGTTGGCGGTCACTGCAGCCAAAGATGCATTTGAAGATTTTCGACGTTACAGGTCGGATAAACAAATAAACAGACATGCTTGCAGAGTGTTTTCAAAGTAAGTTTTAAATTGAAAAGATTGTTATTTGCTAACCGGAGTAACCTATAATAAGTTGATCCATTCTATTGATATGGGTCTTGTATTCAAATTTTGTAATGGGAGTTAAAATAATTCGTTTTTTTTAAAATTATTAAACTACGTAAAGTTTATTAATAGAGTGTAGCAAAAAACGTCAGTAAATAATTTTGAAAGTCTCTTTAACTGTTTAACTACTCCAAAGAAAAAGTTCCTATAAAGTTTATTTTGATATTCACATGAAACATCTGATAGTAATGAGGCATTATTTTCTTTAGTATAAATGTTTATCACTATTTAGTCATTTATTTATAATTTGACTACAGTTTACATGCTTTTAGTATTTAAATGAATACTAAAAGCTTTTGATTTTCAAAAGTATTCATTCAGAAATTAATGATTTGACTTTAACTTTAAACAAATTAACAAATAAGTTACAGTTCTTTTCTTATTTCTAAAATTATTTGCATGACATAATTTCAGGTCAGAAAACCGTTTTATCAAACAAGAATGGTCAAAAGTTTTGCCTGGGGATTTCATCCACCTCTCTTGCAATGAAATTATACCAGCTGACATTCTTTTTATAAGATCAAGTGATGTTCAAGGAATATGTCACATTGAAACAAGCAATATTGACGGTGAAAGCAATCTAAAACAGAGACAAATTGTTGAAGGCTTTTCTAGTATATCGGAAGTAAGACTTTCCTTAATGCATACACATTTTTAAAATATTGCTTCATTGAAAAGAAAAGTATTTATTTTAACTTTGAAATATGTTTTTTAAGAAATGATAATAAATTTTTAAATGTTTTTATTCAATGCTTTCAAAGTAAATCCAAATTTAAATTTGATTTCATTTCAACATTTCAGAATAGCGATTTTGTTCCAACTATGTTCCCATACACGGTTGATGTTGAGCAACCCAACTCAGAAATATACTCGTTTAAAGGTTTCATGTAAGTTAAATTGATACTTAACCAATTTAAATCTTTAAATAACTTCTTTTGCGGACAATCAGCATTTTCATCACGATAGATTACCTTAAAACTCCCTGCACATTTATCAAATTTCCTTGAAACATTCAAATAATATTTTCTGGCACCAATGCAGTCATATTTTCTATCAGTTATTTCCATCACCACTTAAGGAAAGAAAACAGCTAATGATACAATTTGAACATGACTTGCTATTCAAAATTTGTACACAATGATGCTAAGGGTGGTTTTATCATGTTTATCTTTTAAAGTGATTGATTTTTCTATTAAATAACTTATGAATGTAAACTTTCACAAAAACTGGTAAATATTAATTTTTTGTAATTTTCCATTTTGAACTGAACATCAAATACAACATTTACTAAATGTAATGGTTGGGAGCAAGTGTTTAGAGATTATTTAGAAGCTCCATCTGTGTATCCAATCCTCATTCTTTTCTCTCAACAATTTTTAAAAATCTTTTCTTAAACTTATTTTAATTTTGGTATCATGTATTTATGTGTTAACTTGTATCCCAGGGGTTGCTTTAACTGACAAATTAAATATAATAATTGCAAATTCATGTGCAGCCAGATTTACACATTTTTAGCACATTATTTGCTTGTGTTTTTGGACGGTGTCCTTTAAGGTACTGACACCATACATTGAGAGCAGTGGCTCTGCATGCATAAATGAATAAGTTCATCTAAGGTTATATTATTAATATTATTTTAGTACTTGTTACGAAAAACTATTAAGCTCAATGCCAGATTCATTTTTTTAAATGATTAAATTTACAGAAAAATGGAAACAGATACTATTTCTTTAAGTAACAACAATTTACTTCAAAGAGGTTGTGTTATTAGAAATACTGACTTTATTGAGGGCATGGTTGTTTATGCTGGTAAGTAGGCTAAGTTTGTGTGAAATGTTTGAATAACGATTTGCTGGTGTATAAACAATGGGTAGTCAGATGCTGAAATTTAAAAGTAATATTTTTTTTAAAAATGAAGCTCCACTTCAATAAACATGAATGTCAAACAATGATGTATAGTATAGCCAGTATAGTAAATATAAAAATAGTTTTTGGCATATTTCTTTTGTTTGGCTTATAAATCTTTGATCAATATGATTTGTCTCTGCCATAAGTAAGGAGATGATAATTGGAAAGCTTTTAAACACTTCTCCCTGACATGTCTGCAGGTGCGGAAACAAAAGCAATGCTCAACAACAAGGGACCTCGCTACAAGATCAGCAAGCTAGAATCTAAGATAAACCGTGATGTCATCTGGTGTGTCATTTTGCTACTGTTCCTCTGTTTCTTTTGTGCCATAGGTGAGGGTTTCCCACTGTGTCCTGAGCTGTCATTGTACCTGTATATTGAACATGTCATTGTACCTATGTACTGACATGTCTTTGATATCATTGTAGCTGTATGCTGACATGTCATTTTCTAGTTTGTTAGCACCTATGATGAATCTCATTTGTCACAGGATAACCAGAAACCTTTGAATATTATAATATTATTTTCCAGTGGTCTTCTCTCTGCTAAAAGTTTTGTTAAAAGCCACCTAGAGGCATATTGTCAAATCTGACTAAGAAGAAATTATTTAGGTTTTAATATTTGAAAAAATTGCCACAGTAAAACTATAATAAATAAAAATGTAAAATTAAGTAAATTAGAATATTGTAAATAAGTTATTTTAACTATGGTCATCATTTTTGTTCAGAGACTTGTTTTGCTCTACAGGTAGTGGAATCTGGTTAGCAGATTACAACAACCTAACAGACAACACCAACCTTGTGCCTTTTATATCCTTTGGGGACTTGGACCAGTACAGTCCACTCTATCAAGGATTCATTGTTTTCTGGACTTACATTGTCATTTTTCAGGTGCACTATAGAGCAGAATTGTTCAGACATATTTTTACTGATTAAAATATTTATAAATTCAGGACTCTTAAGAACCCCCATTGACCCCCCTCCTGCTGGTCAGGAATTTGACCCAGCAAAAAAGCAAATGGTGGCTTTGTCAGTTGTACATTATTCTCAGACTGCTAAGGGTTGTTTAAGTTCTTTAATGGTCAATGGTTGTGAAAATACTTGACTACACAAAATCACAGCAGCCAGAAAATTAAGCCAGCTGACAAAATTTTTGGCAATATTCACCCTTGGTTTGCTCAATATTTTTTGGGGCTTTTTTTAGCCTTGTTTTTGCCTTGTTTAGCCTTGCAGTGTCTGCATTTCATTGTTATGGGGTTTAATGTGTTAAAAAACTATTTTTGCTCATTAAGCACACACATTTTATTTAAGACAAAGCATTTGTGCGATAAATTACTTTTCCCTTTATGGTATCAACCACATTAATATTACTCCAATAAAAATAAAGATTGTTTTTCTATTTGCTCCAGTCTGTGATACCCCTTCCCTTGTACGTTTCTCTTGAGCTGGTCAAACTGGGTCAGATTTATTTCATCATGCAAGACATTGAAATGTACGATGCTGAGACAGACAAACCCATGGAGTGCAGAGCCCTGAATATCACTGAGGACCTGGGTCAAATAGAGTATGTCTTCTCAGACAAGACAGGAACTCTGACGGAGAATCGGATGGAATTTAAATCCTGTACAGTGGGTGGGGTCAACTACCACCACATGCCTCGTGAGTAAACTAAAAAAGCCAACAAAATTTTAACATGAAAATAATTTGATTGCTTTAAAAAATATGATTAACAAAAGATGATTATATTGTCATTTTTCAGGAAGTAAATCTAAAGCATGTAGTGGTAGCCAAGTATTAAAAAGTTATTGTTTATAAGCCTAGCTCAAGACACAAAAGCCCCAAATTAATTTTTATGCTTCAAGC